TGTGTGTGTCTGTATGTATGTGTGTTTGTGTGTGTGTGTGTTTCTCTGTGTTTGCAGCAGCCCCAACTGAAGCAATATTCTTATCTGCATTGAGGCAAACATTCTGCAAGTCTCTGCTCACGCTCTGCCGTCTCACTCCCTGACTGCCCCTCTCCCTCTCTCTTTCACTCTGTTCGCCTGTCTTACTGTCTGTGCTTGCGTGTGTCTATCCAGTAAGCTGCTCGAATGCACCCCAAATGCAGCAACGGCTGCTGGCAGAGCTCTAAGAATCAAAAGGAGCTGCTGTCGCTGGCATTGCCGCTACTCTCGCCTAAATGTCCGCCATTTATTTGTGAATGGCACTCGAGTAACACACAGAAAACTTACAGTCAGATAGACAGAATGCCGCATTCTGCGCCAACTTGAAACGCGGCCCAAAACGACGCGACTTAAGCAGCCAGCCGAGCGGCAAGTTGATAATTGTCTAGAGCGTGAGCGAGCCAGAAATTCTTTCTTTCTTTCATCACCCATCATAAAGCGTGCAGCAAAATTGTCAACTAATTGCACGAGTCAGACAGCTCTTAACTTCACATTTTTGACAATTGATAGACGGCGAATATACGAACGCAATACGACTTTTTATCTGTTTGTCAGTTGCTATCATTGTTTTTAATTAAATGCATGGCTGTGCTTGGCCACGCTCGCATCACGTATACGCCGCATTGTTCGGTCTGGCATGCGAATATATATCAAAATAATTGACTGCGGCCCGAACGTTACGTAATGCAATTCAATAAATTCATCACCAGCACAGAAAAAAGCCCACATACACACAAAAAAAAATGCAACTTGAAATTTTTTGAAATCTCCATTGGATGCTGGCAGCAGGAGCAGCAGCAACGGTTTGCCAAATGGTGTCAGTTGCAGCCACATGCAGCCCAATCCCAACTCCCGGCTATTGGAATACAATATGCTGCCATGTTGCGCAGCCTTCATTTGCCTGTTGGCTGCCATTCAACACCCGTCATCATGGCATGCAGCAAATCCAGCCACGTATGCCAATAGAAATGCCTGCGCATTTCACTTGAGTAACTTTAACTGTTTACAAGTGGCATGCCACAGGCAGCGGGCCTCACACACACACACACACACAGAGGCAGCAGGCGCTGCTTGATGCTATCAAACTTCGACATATTGCCTGCTGCTGCTGCTACTGCTGCTGCTCCTGCTGTTACATTTCAATTAAAAATTGTTTAACAAATCAATTTGCACAGGCCTGACGTTCAGCTTATCAAAGAAAAGGAAAAATAATCAAAATAAATTGTGGCAGCAACAGCAGCAAGAGCAGCAAAAGCAGCAAAGAGCAACCAGCTCGTTGCCACTGCAAAAAGGAGCAGCCAAGAAAATGCAATTTAAAACAAATGCAGGCACAGCTAAATATGCCGCAAGCGTAAATTCAATTATTTATCCGCTAGACTCCCGCAGGACGATCATCCCAACTATCGAGCGAAGCCAGCACGCGGCAAAGGCCAACTCCCAGGCTCACCAGGCTCACAAGACTCGCCGGGCTCGTCGGGTTCGCAAGCTTTGCTGCGCGCCAGCTCAGCGACTAAATTAATTTATTTGTTAAAGTTTTTGACGGCTGCAGCAAGTCAAAGTTTATTCGTGGCATAAATGAAAATTTGAACAACAACTAGTTTTATGCGAAACAATGAACATCGTATACTCTGCAAAAAGACTAAAAGAGTTAAATTATTGAATTTCCATTCACTCTTAATTTCATGATTTTATAAGATATTTTCAATCCTACTATGAATTCTCATTTTGCATTTTGGATCTAGTTTAATATTCGATATGACATATATACGATTTAATTAGGAGTACTTTTCGTTTTTTAATCATTTGCAGATACATATAAGATGTTCATGAAGAGTCTTGTAGATCGAGTCATATATCAGAAAAGGGCTGACAATTTCTTTCACATTCCCACACATATATTATTTTTTATTTAATAGAAAGCTTCTATCAATCTATGTGATTATTTTGAGTAAATCATCTTTTCTGAAGAAATTCACAAAGAGGAGTTTCTTATGGTTTTATTAAAGAATTACTTTTTAGCAAAATACTATTACATCTAAATCTTGGCTTGATGAGTGAAGTTCAGGAAAATCAAAATGTATTTGAAATACGCTTTTTACAAATTTAAGGGTGAGTTATAATAAAATACCGAAATTCTTTAAAGTACAAATATGTAGTTAATGCATGACAAAAGCTGAATGCTACAAGACTCGAGGTAAGGTACATCAATCGTACAACATCGATTTCGATAAATATTTATCGATTTCGATAGCTATTTATTGATTTCGATAACTATTTATCGGCATCTATGAAAATGTGGAATATTGATCATATCGTATTTGCTTGAAACTTGAGTTAAGACTGCTGCATGACAAAAGCTGAATGCTACGGGACTCAATGGAAGGTGCAATAATAATACTTGTGAAAATATTGATCAAAAATAAAAGTCATAGCCCTATGAATGATAAGAAACTGTGCTGTGCTCAACTCTTCTAGTGAATGTGACAAAATCAAAACTTGAAAATTGAGTTAGGGAAGCTGCATGACAAGCTGAATAAACAAGACTCGGTATAAGGTACGTCAAAGACTGAATAATATGAAGCTCACGAAATAGAAACATAAATATATAGAAATATAATTCACAGAAATATAAATGCTCTTAATTTAGGTCCTCTAGCGAATTTATGGCAGAAGCTAAGTGCGATGAGACTGCATGACAGAAGCTGAATGATGTGACACACTGTATTTTTATTAAACTTTTAGATCCTGGTTATAACATTGAAATGCATGCATTTAGGATTTAGGGGAGGAGGTGAATTATAATAAAAGTCGAAATTCTATACTTATAAATCTACATTTACAATTTGACTCTAGCTCCAAAGATGTGTCAGATATAATGTTATTACTGAATTTCGATCATGTTTTTAATCGATAACAAAATAACGGGATGAGATATCCATTTTTTTAGAAAAATTCTATATCCGCGCTGTATACACGGACATTTGAAGTCACTAGCTCTTACATCTTCTAAGATCGACGCGTTCAAGCATACGGACAGACGGACAGGGCTAAATCGACTCAGGTCGTCGCCCTGATCAAGAATATATATATACTTTATGGGGAGTGCCACGCTTCCTTCTGTCAGTTACATACATTTCAACATATAAAAATCGAATTTTATAAGTAAAATATTTAAATCAACTCTCAACTCTCTCACAACGCCCAAAATCGTTTCAACTTTATGTTAATTACTGTCAACTCCATATCCAAGTTAATGTACCCTCATCTAATAATCGATTGTATGCAGTGCTTGTGGGCGGCACGCCCTCCGCCCACTGCTGCGGTCTAAATGCGTTCGCAGCTGCATCTTGAGGAAATTGCAGGACTCAAGACGCAACGCCTTTGACTTTGTGACTGAAAAGTTTTGTTGGCTTTTCACTAGCTGGCTGACTGGGTAGCTGGCTTAAGTAGAAACGATTTCTGCCGCTTGGCTTTAGTTGGCACAGCTTGAAGGGTGGAAGGCTTGGCTGCCTGCCGCCACCCAGTGTTTGTCATAGCTTTGTTAATGCATTCAAGTGGAGCTTCTCGGCTGCTCATAGTTGACAAATTCACTTGAGCAACTGACAACAAATCCTCGTCTCGTCTACCTGCTCTCATGCTAGGATGCATCGAGTACACCTTGTGACGACGAGAGCTGGCGCCTGGCAGCATTAGCAAAAAGCACTTTTAAGTGCTTTAATTAGAAGTCGGTTGGGTAGAGTTTGCCATCCTTGCAAGAGGCGGGATGGGCTCGATGCACTCCTGCATTACGGTTGCCAGGTGATGCTCTTGGCTCTTAGCTTAATTTGATCAGATTTAGTTTCAGTGAACAGGTTTATCAATTATTTTCACGATTACCCTTTAATTAAGCATATCGATTGAAGTTCAGTAACATGGCTGGCCCAAATTAAGTTGTGCAAGCCAAAAATATCATTTAAAAGCGACGCAACTTCAATTAAGTTTCAGCATGGCTCATGGCGCACCGCACATTATATTGACACACGATACGTTGTACACGTGTATATAATTATATGTACATAATTAAATCGAGCTACGTACGAACACAAAACCGCATCCCCAGGCGCGACCCCAAAATATGTTAATCAGATTTTGCAGTCATGCGGTATTGGAAGTAAAGTGAAGCGTTCAATATGGATCTGACAATAAAATAAGTTGATTTTAGCTGATTGATAACTAGGCAGGAATTAATGAAATCTGACAAAATAATATTAGCATGTTAGTAATATACAAAAATTAGACATGTCTCCATTCTAGATATTAGATACCTATTGCTGGCATGATACATCCAATATATTTGGAGTTGTTCGCTAACGCCCATTTGATTTATTTAGTATATCTATTTATCTGCTTCTGAAGGTTCAATATTTTTAATAGAAACTTTTTCAACAATATACAGTCGATTCTCAATAAATTTTATCCCCTTAAATCGAAAATCGCAATAATTCGAAAACAAATTCTATCCCCTTGAAAATAAAGTCGTTCTCGATAATTCTCGATAGTTTGAGTTTCTGCCCCTGCCATTTTGAATTACAGTCGATTGTAATATGCCATCTTTATTTTTGTACCAATTAAAGTATTGTTTTTATGGAATCTGTATGCAAATCATAAACAGTTTTTATGCTACCCACAATAATTATTTTTAAACACAAACAGCGATTACCAGCTTTACGACGTTAAATTGTAGTAATAAAATATATGACTCTTAGGCGAATAATCGTTCTGTTTTCAATGGTATGTAATTATTTATTTACCCAAATAAAGTTTAAATTAGCAATAAACCCAGGTTTATTGTTAATAATTACAGATACTTTCGAGTGTTCCACTTTACCAATATATAATATATGATTCTGAGGTAGTTTTCTGATAAAGATGTTGGAACTCACCTTTCTACGTCCACAACAAAGCATTCTTCGCACACGCGAATTTCCAGTAGCTGCTTTCAATCGAGTAAACTTCTTCTTCCACTGCATTTATGAGTGGGGATCCTTATGGGAAAGTCTGTCTTCTGCTGCTACAGTTGGGGCATTTGTGGCCCTGGCTGAAGTCTCGAGAAAAGTGCCCAGGGGCGTGATCGCGTTATCGACTTAATTTTACGAAAATTCATTAGCTTAGTCTATATATAAAATGCAAGTTCGATTCATTCGTTGCTCGTATAGTAGTGCTGCAAAGAAAGAGACCGAGAGAAAGAGAGTTGCCATAATTAGTGAAATAGTAAATGTGTTTGTAGCTTGAAATTATCAAAATGCGATGCTCTCAGGGTAAGACAACACTACATTCCTATAGCCTTGGATTCCCTCATTCCCCGACTAAGAGCTCCTAAGACTCTCTCAGACTGTGAAAACAAATGAGCGTTGCGTTTGACAATGCCAAACTCATCAGAAAGTATTTACTGTCACCTAATTGTCAGCAAGCAAACGCAATTTGCATGCCTTTGCGGAACTCGACTCCACACTGTACCAGCGTGTCCTAAACTTAATGAAGCTCTGCTGGCTGGCAGGCAGGCAGGCAGCAGTTGACAGGCAACAGCACTTTGAAACACTTTACTTTTGAGTTGTGGCTGCTCCGACATGTGTCATATGCATTTGCCTGACAACCATTGAAGCCATCTTGCCATCTGCCAGACGCCCAATACAAGCAGCAGGACAGACAGCCCTTAGACAGACAGTCCTACAGTAGTACAGTCCTTCAGTCCATAGTCCACCGTCCACTCGCATATCGAGTAGCTGTCTGATTTCACAGCTCCGATAACGCGTTGTTTGCACAGCTCTCAGAGCATTGTAATCAAATTGTGCCACGGACGGGGCTATGGCTGTGCTGCCTGCAACTGTTGCACTCTTAAGCTGCGATAAGAAATCTATTTTTAATCCCAATAACAGCGCCAAAGCGAATCAACTCTAATTGCAGTGCACTAACAAACCTAATCATACTCGCATATCTTGCAGCGTGTTTCGGCTGGGCTTATGTAAATCTAATTAGGCTAAGTTCTTCAAAGAAACCCAATCCATTAGCAGCACTTGGACGTGAGCTGGACGAGAGTTAATCTTTCACATATACGAGGCACTCATACATAAATAAACGGAAGCGCACAAACTCACTCTAGCAGTTTGTATGCTTTAACACCTGAATTCCACGACACACTATGTAAATGACTGATTCAATTTCGGGTTATTTTTTTCTCTGTTTAAACTCAAGGCAATGAGCTGTTTGTTAAAGGTGAAGAGAGTAAGAGAGAGTACTTCATACTCTAAAGTTTATGTACTCCTTACAAACTATGGCTTAATATATATATATATATATATATACATATTTATATGGCGATATTCGATTGCAGTTTAAATGATATTTCAAGTCCGTAAAGATTTCAAGCACAGTAAAAGAAATAAACATTATTTAAATAGATGCGCATACCAGTGCTGCCAGTTTAGCCTGTTTCAGGCTCTATCTAGCGCATTTGAATGTTGTGTACCCTATTGATGAAAAGCCATAATAATAATAAATAAGTATAGGATAGAATATCCAGAAGACTATGCAGACATGTAAGCAATTAAGAGAACTATAGAACAGAAAAAAATGCTGTCTATGTCATCTAATAATTATATACATTAATGTACATAAACTATTTAGCATAGCAGCATTTAGCTTTATCAACCATATACATATATTATTGAGCAGCGTAATGAGTTAATCCTATTTAACTATGCCTGTTAGTTTGTCTGTATATCTGTTCGTATGAGTGTCTCTATATATGTCTATTTGTATGTATCCCTGTCTATATCAAACCTGTCTCTCCGCTTGTCTCTCTGAGTCTGTATGCCTAAAGAAAGCAAGATACGAAGGAGACCGACGAAAGATCAATTATATGTTTGCAGCTGTATTCAGTTCGTATTTATAATTGAGTAAAACGAAGCTAGAATGCTTGCAGCAGCAGAGAGTCTTCTCATTGGTCACTTAAAGTTCGACTGCAACGTCTTCTACCGGCTATCGGGCTCAACATTTGAGAGCGACTTAGAGAGTGAGTGAAAGTGGCCCTATATAAAGGGCAGCAGCTGTAGCATTTCTACAGTCAGTCGTCCAGGCCTGGTGGGGCTCAGTCGTGTAGTGCAGTAAAGTAAAGGGAAGGGAAGGGAGGGGAAGGGAAGGAAAGTGATGTGAAGGGAAGTGTGTGCAAGTATTCAATGATCGTTCAGCTACTATTAAAGACTAAGAGGAATTATTTAGAGGATATACTCAGTGGAAATACTTAGGAGAATCACTTTAAAAAATACTAAATGGAAATACTTAGGGGCAATTTTTCGCCACTTGGGCATAATAATGGAATTACGATCATTATATTAACATTAATCGTTAGTTTCTTCAAACCTCTCTGTTCTGTAGTTCAGCATGGAGCTCATTCATGCCTATTAAATAAATTGAAAGTATTTTAGCCAAGATAATAAAAACCGTTTTAAGCAAAAAAGAAATTCAAATATTTCAACCCCGAGTCTTATTTACAACTATAGTAACTAAACCTACATAAAGGAAAGAATGTTTTACTCTCCTTGGCTAATGCTCATTGAAGCGTATTCTTGATTATTGTAGGTTTCTCATCAAATCAACTCAGCTAACTTTTACAGTTGCCTGCTTTTGTTGTAAAATGGAGATTCGATTATTTTAATTACAATTTAAATCGATATGCCAGCTAAGTGAAATGTATATATTTATTATCCTACTTTCTCTCTGTGTCTGTGTGTTTGTCTGTGCTCGTTCTTGGCACTTGAAATGATGTTCCATCTACATAACAAAAGAATCATATTCATGTTGCTCTAACAACTATTATCCAAGCAGGAGCTCTGCTGTTGCCATCGCCCGGGAGCTGGAATGAATGTTGATATAATTTTTAATTAAAAAGCATTTCCAGTTGCCTGGTCGAGGCAACAACTTTCAGATCCAGAAGAAACACAAGGGCAAGGCATGCTCCTAGCTGAGAACTTGTGCAACCGTTTATACACCATCTATACAAACATTCTCCGCCGTACACTGTATGCGGCGATTATTTCAGTCTCCGGATTTATTGCACTAAGGCTGCAAATCCCCGGAGAAAATACAAATATACACTATTAGCTGCAGCAACTTAGCCGATTAGAGTGCAACTTCGGATTATGTTTCTGCATATGATTTTGTCAAAAGCCTTGCAGCCGCAACGGTAAATCAGCGTCAAAGAATTTTCAATTAAGTAGCAGTTGCAGCAGCAGCCACGGGAGGAGAAGTCTGTGCCAGCAGCTCAGTTGCCATGGCTAGAGTTAGCCATTGCCATGATGATGTCGTCTGCCAACGTCGCTCTCGTCGTCGTCGTCGTCGTCTTCGTCGTGGCGGACATGTTGCACGAACTGGGCCAATGGAGTTCTGTGGCTGGCAGTTAGCCTACGACTCCAACTGAGATTTTGTTGCCATAAAACAGTTTGTGCCGAGAGTACGTCCTTAATCCTCCATTTTCCCATTCCTGCATTTACAGTTTGCAATGAAAAATGTTGCAATAGTGCAGAGGACATTTAAATATGCTGCTCGTATGCCGTACCTAAGGCCATATCTGTCTGCATATAGATGTATGTGAGTGTGTGTCTGTGTGTGTATGAGTCCAGCTGCGCCATGACAACTAACTGCTGAGCAGCTTCCGTTGCAACAATGCCAACAGCCAGGCACCATTCAATGACTTCAGCTGCGCCCGTTGGTATGCAACATTTTTGTTCATAATTTCTAGACAAGCTCTGACTGCTCTATGTGTGCGAGTGTGTGTGCGTCTCTGTCTCTCTGTCTGTGTGAGAATAATAGCAGCGGCAGTGACATGCAAATGGAGCTACACGATACTTTGTGTCAAAGCAGCAACAACATGGCGACAAAATGCAGCAATCAGCCAAGAAAAATGTCTTCGGGTGTTGATGGGATCTACAACATTTACAAAAACAACAACAACAACAACAACAGCAACAACAGTCACAATAGCAACATTTATTACAGCAACTCTTTTAGTAGACAGACAGACAGACATTCACATTTTCGTACACGCATGCCAAATGACATCATAAATTTCGCTTCAACTGTGTTTTCGCTTTCGCACAGCCCAAGTTACTTTCAAATACCACTGTGTGGGTGTGGGAGTTGGTGGGCGTGGGTGAGTGGGGATGGTTGGCCTAACTGTTTGATAAAGCGCCGTCCACGTGGACCGTAACAAAAATAGCAAAGCATTTATCAAATAATAAAAAACAGCAACGAATCAATAACAATATTTGCTCTGGCCAAATATTGAAAGCTCTTAGACATTGAGCTGCTCAGATGGGAATTGAATTGTGTTGATGTTTTTTTTAAATATGTATATATAAGTACAGTAACTTGTATGACTCTAAAAATTATTAAACTAAATATGAAATTCTGTCTTGTATTAATAAGAAAACGATCCATTGTATTGCATAAAATAATAAACATAAAAACAATAATAATAACACATACAAGCAATAGGTTAAATACTTCACGGTATTGGCCAAAACTTGATCTGTTTCATACTATCAAAAAGAAGTCGTATAGACATAGTCTGCCATTCAGTTGCAGTAAAGTATATTCTTCATTGCGGGTGCTCTATAGTTCATACTTCCATATATTGATGGCTTGGCCTAACCTTTGCACAATATTGGCTATGCTTTTACCGCGTTGCATTTACTGCTGGCCCTGGGAGACGGCACCAGCCTAAAAGCGAAGTGACACACAGCCGTCCAGGCACCAAGGGACGACACTGACACACCCATCAACACATCGCCCGTTGCCCATCGCCCAGCACATGCACCATGGCAACAGGCAGCGAGTCTAGACCGGCAGCGCACCTATGGGAATTATCACCTTGAAGTTGGTCTAGGAAAAAAACTGGCAACCACAGCAACCGGCTTAATTGGCAACCGGCAGTTGCTAATGGAGCATGGCCAATGGTCAAACTAATTTCAACCAATTTGTTCACTAATACTGAGGGCACAAATGCATCCCGGGAGGCTGGCGCATGTCTGGCCAAACGGCATTGCACTATGGGTCAAAAGCCCGATTTTTTGGAAAAAAGTCTTATTTTCAAGTTGAAAAAATTTACAAAATTTTAATGCCAATCCATTAAGAATACCCTATATGTAAATGTTACATACTCAGAATTTTAACAGAGGCGCGATCTGCTAACAAAACTGTTGTTAAACAGAGCTGCTATGCATGACACGCACATTATCAAGTTTGTAAAAAACTTTATATGAATTTCAATGGCCAATTGAAATAAAAATAATGGCAATTAGATTCAAATTTTTAGTGGAAAGTATGGAATAGGGCTTGTTCTTTGTTTTTACGTGTTTATATTGTCCAAAATCTTTATGTGATGTGAAGTTTTGTGTAAGTCAAAAAGCTGTCTTTGACATCATTTAAAAAAAAAATGTTTGTCTTTGATAAGAGATAACTTGTGTTTGTAGCATTTTGTAGCAATGAAACTACGCCCATTTTATAGAGTATTCAATTCCGAACTTAGACCTATAAGTTCAACGTGCACTTTTGCGCACTTTTTGCGCAATTTCATTTTTCAGCAACTAACCTCGTCGCAGATGAGTAAGAGGAAATAAGGCTGTTCGAAAGGCAGGACTTTTCAAATTTTGAGGTTTATGGCATACTAGCTTCAGATAATGAAGAATACGATGATTAACAATAAAAGAGATATATTTTAATGTTATTTGTGCTTAAAATCATAAAATCTAACCTTTTATTCCTTGAAACATTTTTTTGTCAACTTCTACATACAAAAACTATATGATATAGTTAACCGATTTTGATAATTTTTTTACAGGATCTTTAAAACATGAAAACACATCTAATATGTGAATTTGGTGTAAATATCTTAAAAAGGCAAAAAGTTATGAACGCTAATAATATGAAAGAGAGGCGGTGCCACACCCATTTTTTCACCAAAAACGAGTGTTGCGAACGAAAGTCAAATGCAAAAAAACAAATTTAATTATCTTGACTAGTTCAAAAGTTATTAATTAATTCCAAAAAAAACGGGCTTTTGACCCATAGTGCATTGTAAAGGTAAAATAATGGGAGGTTAGTGGTTAACAAAGCAACAAAAAATATGGAAATTAAAAGCGATTGCATGCCTTTGAGAAAGCTAATAGGGATAGATACGGAAAAAAAAAGATCATATAGTGTATATAAGCCTTTGTTAAACAACAATGAAATATATATTCATTTTCTTTGCATACTTAAAAGGGCGAAGCAAAAAGTTCCTATGTATAGCCAAACTGACAATCTTAAGTCTTTTATAAAAATGAAATTCTGAGAACTGAAGCTGTACCTAAAGTCTCTGCGAATTCCAAGTTCATTTTCTTCACTCAACAGAAAAGTTTCTAATGATACTTATTGTTAAATACATCGAGCTAGACAATCTAACAATGGTTTTCTGAACAATGGAAATTCAGAAAATCGGCTAATTCGAGCAACTTTTATTCTCTTCCCTCAAGTTTCAGAAAAGACGAGAACTTGTCCATAGCCGATTACTATGAAAATATTTTTTGAGTTGAAAATGTTGCAAATATTCTATAACATTTGGAATCATAACTTTGCATTCAATGCTGTGAGCGTTAAAGTATTTATATATATATATATATATTTTTTTTTTTTTCGAATTTTGCCAGTTTTTTGTTCAAATGATTTTTCCGCTTTTCTTGTAAAATTAGAGCAAAGCTCTCAACTTTTTCAATGTGGCTGCTAGGAAACTAGATGTGGGTGGCATTGGCTGGGCTCCCAAATGAGGCCGAGCGCAAAGCACTAGAGCATTAAACATGTTCTGTTGATTGTTAATATCGTGGACGTTTATATTTGCTCATTGTTTTTCGAGATGCTTATATATTCAGTAGAAGTGAAATTACTCTTACTAGTCTGTGAATTATTATATGATATAATATACTAATATATTAAATTATAATAATATGTCATTAATAATATATTATTCCATTTTGGATTTAAAGAAAAACTAAGTTCACAGTTTTTCCAATTAGATGGTTAATATAGTTCCTTATATGTAGTATATAGATAACATCAAGATAATATTCACATATATATAATGAGCTCATCGAATCGGAACTACTTTTACTTCAGTATTATCATATATATTTCTTCATAAAAAAATTAAGTGGAGAATATGAAATATTCAATTTGCATTTAAATATAAAGTTGAATCAGTATTTTTAGGCAAAAACGTAGATAAAAGTGTATTATATTTAATGGAGACTATGTTGACCGAGACAGAAATCGAATTCCATTCAATTCCTAATATAATCCTTTAACCTTTCTATCCCAATTTGATAATATTTCGTTCATTTTATGATACATTTCTGATAGTCGCTCATCTTACCTAAACTGCGTTTCCTGGCCTGATGGATGCTGACTGGATGTTTGGATGCCTGGATGCCTGGTTGCCTGGTTGCCTGGATGCCTGGTTGCCTGGATGTCTGTTCGTCGCTTCGCTAGCCGCACGAAATTCACCGTTTAATTATGAAAACTCAAAATCACAAGCAGCAGCAGCAGCAACAACAACAACAAGGACAGCTTCTGTGGGATGGTTGCCGGCGGGAGAACAGCGTTAGATGCAGGTGCAGTTGGCAAGGCTTTTGCGGCTATATTGCGGATACGAATGCAAATGCAAATGCAATTGCTGTTGCTGTTGCAGTTGCAGATGCAGATGCAGATGCAGTTGCCGTTGCAGTTGATGATGCCGTGGCAGCAATTCAGTTGCTGATGCTTGCGTTGGCGTTAATGACAAATTGCTGGTTCGGTGGTCAATGGCACTGTGGAGGCACTCGGATGCATCCTTCGATCCTCTGCACTTTTAACATTGTTCGTTTGCTCGTTTCCGTTTCACATTTTGCTCGCTGCTGCTGCTACTGCGGCTGCGATGCTGCTGCATTTTTTGCGTAACTTGTGAGCTTTTTTCGCTTTTCTCGCTTTTGCACATTTCACAGTCAATTTCAACATTATTTGGCAGCCAGGGCCTCAAAAACAACGCGTTTTGACCAAAAATCCCTTTTAGTTAACCGATTTTTTCTTTTAACTGCGTTCAATTGATTTTTGCACGTGTATGTGTGAATGCATGTAGGAACGGTTACGCGTGTGTGCGAGTGTATGTTTTATGTGTGTGTGTGTGTTTCTTTTTCTATGTGGGAGCGCGTGATAAGGTGTAAGTGGGAGCAGGCAACGGAATGCGTCCGAATGGCAGTGCGGAGCTTTTGCTTATGAGCCGCGTTTTACTACGAGCGCAATGCTTTTGGCCTGAATATGCGAATTTTCTGCGGTGCTCGTACGTTAAAAGAGCGCAGCTCAGCACGCATCTATATGTATGTACATATATGTGTGTGTGGGTTTGAATTTCAGTATAATAAAATATCCTGTTTGGGCAATGAGCGAACCAGTGAGCGTTTCAGCGAGTCGTTCCTATTGCGCATGATCTACAAATTTGGAGCAAGTTGCCGCTGCTGGCAATTTGTGGGCGAGAGCGAGCAAAGACGATAACACTAGCCACCCACCCCACGGTAATCCACCACCATCAGAGTCGTAACCGTTCAAAGTCCCTCACGCTTAGCTCGTGTGGGTTTTTTTTTTCGCTTTACTTGGGGGCGGCTGACGGCGTTTTGTTTAGGGCACTTGTGGTTGTTGTTTTTAATAAAGCTATTTGCATCACTGCACTCGCGTTAGTTTTTCTGTATTTGTATTTTTATGTTTTATTGTTTGTTTTTTATTTTATTATTCTTTTTTCTATTTGCTTAAGTTTCAACAATTTGAATGATTGATTGATTGATTGATGAGCGGCAATGACTCACTAAACTGAACGAACGAACTGAGTCCCTGACTGTCGTTCGTTACAATTCGCTAGCACAGTTTGTTTTATGTTATGTGCTTGGTATCTAAAAGCTTAACATTGTACTACAATGTTATTGGCAGTGTGCCTGTATTTTATAATCATAGCTTTTTAGACCTTCGGAATTGGAAAACTCATTTGATATATTAGTAGGGTACAAATATTGTGTTTTATTTTATATTTTTATTTTTATATTATAATTATATGCAAGCTCAGTTTGAATTTGAACTAAATGCACTGCCAAATGGCTAAAAAGAACTAATTCAAAGGAAACCTAACAGAACTTCAACAGAAAACTGTTAATTAACATTATTCGATTTAATGCTTAGCAGCAACGTTTTTTCATAAATACCCGTATTGGGGATGTTGGCAATCATGTGCTATCAACCAGATCAGCTGTTTAGAGAACATTGACGGCAACCGGTTGGGTATTTTAAACATCTGGTAGCTCTGCTTGAATATTAAGAACTTATTACACAGAAAAATACTAGGTTTACAGAACACCACTGCTGTTGATACAAATTTAGCTTATGTTATTATTGTGGCCACTGTTAAATAAAATTTACAACTGGACGGAGTTCAATAGTATTATAAATTACTGCTTATTGCAAACTCATTATAGAAATTACAAATACAAGGTAAATAAAAGCAAATTAAAATTCGAATTAATTTTTTTATTTGAAATAATTGGTGCTTACATATATTTTTTTACAAAAAACTTGGCGAAAATATTTCCGGTTGCAGTTGGCCTGAATTAGATGCATACAATGTTTTTGCATAACAGGAGTCTATGCAAGCTGGCATGTAAGTAGCTTAATACCCTCCGCGTAATATCAAATAAACTCTTCAAGTTACAGGCAATGCCGCCAATTTCGCCACGAGTAACATTCGTTACAGCAGTCAGAAGGCGAAGACTGCAATCCTCATGCTGAACATGGGTGGACCACAACACACGGACCAGGTTCATGACTATCTGCTGCGCATCATGACGGATCGCGATATGATACAGCTGCCGGTGCAGAGCCGGCTGGGTCCATGGATTGCGCAACGTCGCACGCCCGAGGTCCAAAAGAAGTACAAAGAAATCGGAGGCGGCTCTCCCATATTGAAGTGGACTGAGCTGCAGGGTCGATTAATGTGCGAACAACTGGATAAATTGTCTCCAACAACGGCGCCGCACAAGCATTACGTCGGGTTTCGCTACGTTACTCCCTTGACGGAGGACACGCTCGCACAAATTGAAAGGTTAGTCAAGGGTCAATTGGGGAGGAATATGTCAAAGAGTTTTGTGGTATTTATATATCTATTTATGTTGTCATAGTGACCAGCCGGAACGTGTGGTGCTCTTCTCGCAGTATCCGCAATACAGTTGCGCCACATCCGGCTCGAGCTTCAACTCCATCTTCACCCACTATCGAAACAAGTAAATGGTCATGGATCATCTGAAAGTTAAGCAGTTAACCCAGTTTCCCATTCGCAGCACACTGCCCGAAAACATCAAGTGGAGCATTATCGATCGCTGGGGCACACATCCGTTGCTCATCAAGACCTTCGCTCAGCGAATTCGCGAGGAGCTGGCCAAATTTGTGGAGACGAAACGCAATGATGTCGTAATACTCTTTACAGCGCACTCGCTGCCGCTCAAGGCAGTGAGTAGAGGTGATCCGTATCCCTCTGAAATCGGCGCTAGCGTGCACATGGTAATGCAGGAATTAGGTCAAAGCAATCCCTATAGCTTGGCCTGGCAGTCAAAGGTGGGACCGTTGCCCTGGCTAGCTCCAGCGACGGATGATGCCATCAAGGTAAACCAGGAGTCGCAATTATACTTTCTTGACAGATACTAATGTCCTAACTCATTTGCAGGGTTACGTCAAACAGGGTCTAAAGAACTTCATACTTGTGCCTATTGCCTTTGTGAACGAACACATCGAAACACTCCACGAGCTGGACATCGAGTACTGTGACGAGCTGGCCAAAGAGGTGGGTGTGGAGGAAATACGTCGCGCTGCTGCGCCCAACGATCATCCGCTTTTCATAAATGCACTGAGCAGCATCGTGGCCGATCATCTAAAGTCTGAGCAGCCGGTCAATCCCAAGTTCTTAATGCGCTGCCCCATGTGCACCAATAACCGCTGCCGTGAAAGCAAAAAATGGTATCAACAGCTGTGCGCCCACTGAGTAATGTAAATTAATTAATTGATATGAGACTCACATATTGCACCGGGCAGTAAGGCATTTCAAGTGATTTAGCTTCAAGCTATCATTGCAATTTTCATCAAGTTATCATTCGTTTCGTTTATAAGCATTTCATTATCTGGGCTCCGGGTATTTGCAATTGATTGCGAGTCCATTTGGGCAATAAAAAAGACACTGCGTAAACAAAAACAACTGTTTTATTTTGATTTCTTTCGCTCACACTCTCTGTAACACATGCGCTCTCTGTCTGCGCCGCTCTCACATGTGCTCTCTCATGCCATGCACAAGTAACTCACTCTACGCGTCTCCCTGTGACGTCACACTTTAGAAAGTATCTGCGTCTCTGACAAACATTTATTGCTATAAACCAGATCTATTCGAATTTATTTGCTTTTATCAATACAGTGCTTTTGTGCTGCATATTAAGAATAAATTGATGGACGTTCTTGTAGCGCACATATACTTATCAATTGTGACGTCACATCGGTACTCATTCATTTGAGTATCGCGCCGCCGCCATGCACAATGCGCTACATTATCTCTGCTTCAACGACGGTTAGCTTTGATCAGCTGTTTTCTTTGATTTTGTCACTTTAGTCAGATTTCAAATTCTTTATTTATGGTGGGCACAACAAAATTTAAATTCTAATGGCCAACGGAGCTCTATTAGCCCACACGCACCCTGCCGAAGCAGCGATTCTCCGTGCTATTGGTTAGTTTCATAATTTATTTGCCGCACGACGAGTTGCATAACGGTACAACTTCGAGTGCACTGCAGCGTCTCCGATTCCAAACAGAACAATCACAGAAATTCCAAGGAATCAGCAAAATAATAATAACAACAACAATATATCCAATAGAAATTGGATGCGGGAGAGGAACGCCTTCAGCTGCCAATCAGTCACTTATACAGTTATACAGAAATGCGAATGTATTTGAGCGCGCGTCAATTAAACCACGCTCCGAATTGGCTGGCAATTAAAGCTTTCTAATTTTGTTCTGATACTGACGAGTCTACTATGTATACTACTCTGTTGCAGCCGTGCCAGTGACCAATCTAATGGATCAGATGTAGCATACACCGTGGTGTAATCTAATCTCAACATCAGCATATTGATCGTAAATTAATTAGTGAAGCCAGCTATATTTCTTGTGTATTTTTAACCCAACGCCATGACTGGAACTAACAATGTCGCCCATTCCGGAGCAGTATACGCGGTGCTCTCGACGCCGAACCACGCCGGAGCGGATAGCCACGATTTCGACAGGTAAGAGTATTGCCTTTTTGTTTTTTAAATATATTTAGTGTAATGAAAACCTGTTTTAAGCGGCACACGAACATACACATATGTACCTATTTGTATGTATGCAAGGCTGAGCTCTGTTTAAAAATGTGCACGTATAAGTGTATATAAATATACATGTATATAGGGAGATAAATTGCCTGTCTCACATTCATCTCGTCTAAGTTCTGTTTATGCCCAGCGTGACGTTGCATCCATAAAACAAATCAGTTGTTATCAGCTAATTTAAAATACGTGAATTTCCCAAGTAGGAACTCATCCACTTCAGTTTAAAAGCTGGAGACGCTCACGTTCCTAATATCACTGATTAGAGCTGATACGATACTAACGGTTTCCGAATAAACTTGTGGTTATAAAATCGATCTATCACTAATTTAATGGAGCTATTGTTAACATTAGTCGATATTGAAATTAATATACATATATAGAATCATATTTTATAATCATTAGGATTATATTTGAACAGGGGTCAACAATCTAAGTCAGCTATATAAGTATAGTTAAAACGATCGATATAAAAAATTATATATATATATATATATATGTACAACAGAGGTTAATGATATAGTTTAGTCAATATCGATTATAATTATAATGATACATGCATTGTATACATACATATGTATGCTTGTATGCTTACAGAAATCTCTTCTATGCCTATTGCGAAATAAGCTTATAATATTTCAGCAGAGGTCAACAATCTTTTTAGTTTTACCTGTTCTACATTCAATTACACCCATATAAAAACGTCGCGTCAGCCTTCTAAAAAGTATATACGTATGTACATATGTATATACATATATTCACCACAAAGCCATAAGTTTTCACTATCTTCAAGCTTAGCAAGCATGGGAAAGTGTAAATGGTAGCTACAACGAAGTTTTAATACACTTAATCTGAAATATTTTATATAAATAATATATCTCAAATACTTGATGTCTTCTCTATGAGTTATTTCAATCCTTTGAGCAGATATGCAATTCATAATAATAATTACAACTAAGCTCTATTCGTTAGGTCCTTGAGACCCTTGGCCTATCAGTCGATACCCTTTCCATACCATGCAGCCCAGAGACCCGCTGGCCCCATTTACATACATACATATGTATGTTAGTAAATAGTAAATAGTTAGAGCTAAATCTAAGCACATCCGAATTATAGAGTTACTATGTTGTAACCGCGTCTTATCTGAATAATTTACACACCATTCACAGATGCGCCACAGACGAGCCCAGTGAGCTGAGCGCTTTCTTCGACTGGCGCTTCATTAGCAAGAAGATGGAACATAAAAGCGGCGGCGTCTTCAAGAATCGCAATTTGATTGTCGATCTGCTGGCCATATGCTTCGGCATCGGCACCTGGCTGGGCGTCAATGGCACCTTTATACAGCTGCCGCTGCTGGTCAACGAGGCGCCCGAGGGCTGGAGTTTGCCGTCCTATCTGAGCGTCATGGTGCAGATAGGCAATCTAGGCCCTCTGCTCTACACTGTGTACCAGAAGTTCTCGCCGTGGAAGCTCAATGATGGCTGGACCATTCATGCAGTCCTCATGATCGGCACACTGTCCTGCCTGTTCACCGCCTTTTTCTACAACCGCACGGCGAATCTGGCGGGCAATGATCACAGCGTCGCTCTCTTCATACTGACCATCTTTACGGCGCTCAATGCGTGCACCAGCTCGGTGCTCTTCATGCCCTACATGGGACGCTTCAAGGAGCAGTACATAATCACATATTTCATTGGCGAGGGCCTCAGCGGCCTGCTGCCCAGCGTCACGGCTCTGGTGCAGGGCATCGGCGACAGCGGCAGCTGCGTGCTGGTCAACGAGACGGAGACGGGCGAGGGCGTCTATCAGAAAGTAACCGAACCGCCCTTGTTTGACACCAAGATATTCTTCTTGATATTATTTGCCTTGATGGTGCTCAGCTATATTGGCTATACGCTGCTCAATCATCTACCCCTGGCGCGGCACGAATATGCCCAGGTCACGGTTGGCAAGGGCAACAAGTATGAGTACGGGCAGGACGACAACCAGCCGCAGGTACTGAAGCTTAGCTCTTGCCAGTATGTTGGCCTGCTCTTGCTCATAGGCGCAATTTCTCTGTTCAGCAACGGGATGTTCCCTAGCATCAAATCCTATTCGAGTGCGCCGTATGGAACGCGCGCCTATCACCTCTCTGAAACGCTGAGCGCTATTGCCAATCCGGTGGCCTGCTTTCTGGCCATGTTCCTGTATGTGACATCCCTGCGCATGATCTATGTGCTTTCCGCGCTGGCAGCGCTGCTCACCAGCTATGTATTTACCACGGCGGTACTGAGTCCGTATCCACCGCTCTACGACGAGACCATCGGCACAGTATTGGTGGTATGTTTGCAGCACGTAAATTTAATCTAATCTTCCGATTGATATCCACTCTATCTTGCGCTTGCAGGTGACCGCATGGACGTTGCTAATCGGAGTGGTCAGCTACACCAAGCTGGGCATTACGACTGTGATGCGTGGCCAAGGCGGCCAGTCGTTGGTTTGGGTGGGCGCCATCACGCAGCTGGGCTCGGCCATTGGCGCCATCTCCATATTCTTCGCCATCAACTATACGCGGTTCTTTCAGGCCGCCGAATCGGATTGCTGATATCCTCATCTAGATGATTTTATTGTAAATAAGATTACCTTTTTATAGATATAGAAACATTTTTATTTTTTACGGGAGCCTTGTCACAAGATTAGCAGATTTGAAACATATACCACGTAATACAGAACTAAGTTTTTGATATATGATGTACGCATATGCAATTACAAATTTAGACAATAACTTTAAATGCATCACTAGAGTTTGCTATCCTGTTCATCGGTGATTGGATCCATTTCACTGTCCACGTCACCTTCGTAGCCGGAATTCCAGTTGGAATTCGATGTGACGGAGCTCACTTTGACTTCGTCCGCAGACTCAACATCCACGCTGCTGTTGTTGCTGAAGCAGTGGGTAAAATTCTGAAGCATATCCTGTCCAATCACCGAGGCCTTGTTGAAGGCCTGTATCTTCTCCCGGAGACTGCGGCTATTGCTACTCACGCCCGCTTGACTGCTCTCCGACGATGCTTGGCTCCCGTCGGGGCAACCTTGGGCAATCTGGTCCAACATGCACTCGACCTTCTCGAACGACTCCTTGGCGCGCTTGTAGCACATCAGGCTGTCGCGCAGCAATTGGCTCTCGTGCAGACGACGAAAGTCGGCGAGCAGATCGCGCAGCTCAATCGCCTCGATTGAGTTGTTGTCTGCTGTGTTCATGTTCTCAAACTCCATAATTAGGCGTTTGATTTTAGTAGGCGGCTGCTCGGGCTCTGACTGCGTCAATCCCAACGTTGTGGCCACATCACTCATCTCCTTGACTAAATTCACTGACGCCTGGATTAGGTCCGTGTGCTGCTGTACGGTCTGCTTAAGGCGTTCCCGCAGATTCCGCAGGTAAGTGCATATATGCTGCGTATTCTCTATATCAATTTCGAGCGGTAAAGCTTTGGGGGTCGAGACAGAGTTTTTAATATGTATTTAGGGCATTTTTTTATATATTTGTATAACTTCATACCAATTAGTTCTTTATTATTTTCGAGGTTTTCCATTTAGTGTTTGTTTTTCTGTCTCTTAATACAAGGAATTTCATTCGAAAAAAACATAAAACTTTAATTACTTATAATTTACATTCTATTCGAAAAGAAACTGTGGGAATTTCATCAAATTTATAATTTTAAAATTGTTTAAAAATCATAGCAACCACGATTTATATTTAAAAATTTGAAAATATAAGACATCTCTGAATGAATATTGGTATATTCAACTAGTTTATTAACATTACAGTAATATATTGTATAAGTGCACATACATACATAC